ATAGGGTCCTTGCCCGAAGGGCAAGGACCCCTGCTTGCTGCAGCAAGTAGGGGTCCTCGGACCCTAATAAATATATAATCCAATGTAATATATAGCAAGTATAATATAATATAGTATTACATGAATAATAAATATATATGATAAATAGTTCAGACTATGGAGACTAGTGTGCGTTCAACTGACTCAGGAACTCAAACACTTAAAATGATTTCAGCAGTTTTGAAGACGCATCAAATTCCAACTGAATCTGAACTCGTCTTATTTTTCAAAGTCAAACTTAAACTCCTTTAAATGTCTACATCTCATGTTCTCGTGACGCTTCATCTCCTTTTCCTTCTTAGAACTGACTTCAGCTCATTTCACTACTTCATGTTTGGTACTTACTCCCATACAAAGTGTAAAAATGCATTCTGGTTGAGTACCGTCGTACAAGAATCAGTCCATCAGAGGGAATCAGATATTGGATGCCGTATGAAGCTAGAACCGAATTTCCATGTGACTTCTTCCAACAAGACTGACTCAATTGTGACGTTCGAGGACCATCGGGGAATAACAGCGTTTCTGCTGCCATTTGAGATAACACAGCTGTATTCAAATGACTACAGCTATGAAATAGGAGGCTAACAACTGCAAGCTCTACATGCAGCTGCTCAACATGCACATCACACACAAAACCTTAATTAAATGGTAAGTGAAAGTGACATCTCGAACCTCTCACCAGAACCACAGGATTTGGAATCAAGTGTCTCTCTGTGGATTTCATGCCTGTGGCTAAAGTGTAGCGTCTAATGCCAGAAATTCCAAATTGAGAACTGCAAAAACATATATTTTTTTTTACTAACTCCAAGGTCTAGCTATCCAGTAAATTACAAGAAAATGCATTCACATTTCAGAGGCGTCCTTCCAGCAAATAGGCAGACAGATGAGTTGTATATATTCCTAAATATACATTTATTCTGACTTCTACCAGAAAAGATCAATATGGACCCAAATCTAGGACTTTTTTTTTTTCCAGTCGTTGCATATCAATAGTAGCTGCAGGGAATAATAATGGATGAAACCACCCACATGAGACATTATAGGCTGAACCAGTGGTGACTAGTTTACTATTAAATCAGGTACAACAAGCCAATGCAGCTCAAATACAACTGTCCTGCAATGATTGCTATCTTTGTGAAACTTACTAGTATTTTAGAGCCATGCTGATTCAACTGTTTGGTTATTTTGGAGGCAGCTCTGAATATTACTGAGAGAACATTTTGTCCACCTCCACCGTATTAGGTGAGGCTGCAGTTTCCAAATATTAGAAACTACAAACTCCAAAACCTTTCGCTAACGCATACAGATTGTGATTTTTGTGAAAAAATCATTCACATCAGGAGAGTTCTCACTTATTGTGTTCATACCGAAAAGCCATTAAGCTGTAGCTCGTATATTTTTATCTGATTCAAGCATTTGTGCTACAGATTGTATGCAGCAGTGACTCCCGTAATAAGGGGCGATACAACTACGACCAGCTACAGCCAGACTGTGTAAGCTGACCTCTCAGATAGGCTAAGTGCCACTGGAGCAGAGCCAGACTTAAACAGCGTCCAGGCAGATGGTCGAGCCAGCCAGACAGGACACACAAACACATTCCTCCAGCAGACGCAGAGTGATTGAGACAACCTGTGGTGTCGCCACCTGTTTTAGCGCACTTCACAATTAAACCGTATTCACAAGCCTCTCTCTCTCCTCGCCGCAATGACTCACTTTCCCAGCATCCCTCGAGCAGCACTCAGTGAGATCATTCATCATTAAGTGCGAAAAAGGAGCTCAAATCGTCCTCTTTCTTTCCTGTCCTCGGTTATTACATTCGCGCCACGTCTCCATCTCCCTCCCAATTATAAATCTCTCTTCCCGCTATACTTTCTAACGCACACCTCCGAGCCTCCAAGGGCTGCTGCAAAGAGGGCCTAAAGAATCGTAATGGAGGGATTTGACAACTTCTGACAACACACGGGTTGATTTTGTGCAGCCTGAAAACACATGGCATGACTCAAACATGCATGTGAACATCACGGGGTGAGATATTGATCATTTACTTGCTGCTGTTTGACGTAAGTCCACCTTAGACTCAGCAGTGATTCACTCTATCACACACACACACATTTCCTTTTTGTGTTTTAGCATCTCTAAAACAGGCGTACAGATAGTGGCTCATAATGGCTGTTTATCCCATTTTCTAAGAAATACTTTGTAAATGCTTCGGACCAACTCAAAATAGAAAAGTCATTCTATCAGATTTTCCTGCATGCTGTATTGCCCTTTTCTTGCCATTTCAATAAATGTTATTTTGAATTTAACTCACAGACGATATGAAAAAACATAACAAATGAAAAAATCCAGGTGACTGTGATTGGTAGTAGAGATTACAAAACGCATAATACCTTGATGTAGTGGTCTAGCCGTGGGTAGACTCTCATTATTCCCAGGAGCGCAGACAGAAACGTCCTGTGGGGGAACGAGGTAGTGACCATATGTGTGACTTCGGGAAAGGAAAAGACATTAAAACCAGATGTCTCATAGCGCTTCAGAAGCTCCTCGTCGGCCTTGTTTTCTCCTTCGCTCAGAATGCTGCCGACAGCACAGCGGCAAAGCGTTCCAGGTACCTAGACACAAGGGCGAAATTAACGAATAAATAAAGATATATGATGAAATGCAGCATCGATATAACAACAACATAATCTGATGGATAAATCAGATAGAGGGGGGACTCGCGCTCATTAGTCTTATCAGCATTTGACCTTTCTCTCTTTTTCTCATTACAGTGATTCCAAAAATTATTACCGTCTCCAATATAGTCAGACAGAAAAGTGCAGCCAAAACAAAAATGCTTCCTGGCCATTATAGGGGGGATAAAAAGCTAATGCCAATTAGTGTTTTTCTGCAGGAACTGATTGCATATAAACACTATATTGTTTATCGTCTTGATTCAGATGAATTTTCATGCCACAATCTTGCTGAAAAAAGGGAAATGCCAGCGCAGAGTGAGGTGTCTGACTGTGAGGCAAATGCATGCATTAAATAAGCAATGAGAGGTTAGCAGAAAAAAAACAATAAAAATCTCCTTGTGATGTTAGCCAGGTGACAAAGTTAAAGAGAAAATACACTCATTAATCTGCTCTAATTGGAGCATTTGGCAGCACAGCAATTATTGCTCCTTCCTTCATTTGAGAACCCCGGTGCCCATTAAAAAAAAGAAGAAAAGGGAGACACTCTTTACAAATGAACACTCCTGGGACAGCCGGGACTTTCTCCCCACTGAGCTGAGCTGAGCACCACTGAAGGCTCATGTAATAAATAAGCTGGAATCCTCCAATTTGTTCCTAAACCTATCAATGGAAAGCCTCGAGCACAGTTATTGTGCCTGAGAAGTCTTTTTTCCCTCCTCTGTTCATCAACACGCAAGGCCAGTGACGGGTAGAGGTTCACAGTGCACCGCAGCGCAGGATAATTTATCACATTTAAACTTTGAACGTACACAGAATCCTGGAAGAAGAGGAAAAGCTGCAGAGGTTTCTGACCAGAATTTTTTTTTTTTTGGTGTAAGTCAATGAAAGACATTCATCCTCGTCCAAAGATTACTATGAATACAGTGTACGAATGCACATAAATCTCCCCCAGTACATTATATGAATGTCAACATCAGTGTTTAATATCAGCTCATACAGCTTTACGTGACTCTGTGACATGTTGTCATGGGGTCCACTGTTTTTATCTTCGTAATGAGGAAAGCCAGCATCTACCAAAGAGACTTTATGAATTCCACTATAAAGTTCCACCTCTATACTCTGTTTGAGCACGGTTGTGAGAAAATAAACACTTGTGTCCAATATAATCTCTTGCCACTCTGTTTTAGTGATGCATGAACAGACGTCGCTCTGTACAAAAGGATTGTGATGAAATCCAAAGCTTTCCGGCTTTTCAGATGCTTACTTTGCTCTTTTTTGATACTGTTGTTGTCTAGCATGATGCAACAAGCAAATGAAATGAGAACGTGTTTAGTACAGACTGTGCACATTAATAAAAGGGTTTTAGGGAGAATTGTTAAACCTTACCGAGCTCACAAAGGGCAATTTTTTTAAAAAGTCTTAAAGAAGGAAAGGTGATGTTTACCAAATGTCCACAAACCCTGATTAAACCTCTGCTCATCAAACCAAATCAATAACAGTGACTGCTGTTAGAGTCAAGAGGAGAGCCGGGCTGTCAGTGAAGCTGTCAGAACTGAAATAACACAACATGGCAAATGCTTTGTTTAAGAAAATAAAATACAATCATGTTTGTTCCAGATGGATGCTAAACATCCAGTTAATGGTCTGACTGATCTTACTGTAACACATCTTGGGAACTTTACACATGAGGATATTTTTTGACGCTTTGGTTGAGGGCTCGCAGTCGGGAGTCTGAGCCAAGTGGATTTATTAACCATCACAGGGCTCCAAGTTGGGAGTCCAGAACAAAGAAGCAGCGCCGAAAGCACAAGCCTCTGTCCACAGGCTTTGTTTTGCCCCTCAGCACTCATCAAGACACAAGTGTGCTGCCTTTTGATGTTTCTTCAATGCACTGACAGCTCGTCTGAAGGAAAAAGTTCCTAAATTCAACTCAAGGAATCTCGTCTTCTTATGTCTTCGCTGCACATCAGCTGAAGCGGCTTTGGTGAGGCAACGGGGAAAGGAGCGCCTACTGTCTTCTACAGCATACAAAGCATTTTTCTGCTCAGATTCTGCAAGGCTTACATTTTAAATGTTTTAATAAGGCTTCCTGAGAGGGCAAGCAGTAGAGAGATTTCATCATCCACCAAAAAAAAAAGGCCAGCATTCGGACTGATAGGCATTTCCTGACCGGCCCCTCCTCCAGCTGCCGTTCCCACAGCTTTCATCATGTTGTGACACAAACATGAGTCCCTGAAGACGGGACACGTGTCGCTTCACCGCTGTTTCACTTGTCATCCAGCTTTTTATTTAGACAATCTGTGTCTCAAGGACTGCAAACCCTGACCCCAATTGCATACTTGGAATATCAAGTTTGACAGAATACTATATGATCTACCCCCCCTGTTCCCTCCCTCTGACGTTCTGCTGGCCTCAGAAGCGGGGAGCTGCAGGGTAGAGGTGATGTGGGTACACTGGGTCAGAGAAACCCCCTGGCGTTGAAACTGTGAAGAGGCTACCGGAGGAGCGAGCGGGGCCCAGAACATGCGCTCACACGGAGCTGCTCCAGCCCCGTATCCATAGCAACCATCTCAGGACCAACTCAAGTTCTCGTTGAGGTCTTTTGCTTCTTCAGAGGAAGTGATTAAAGGAGGTAAAAGTGAAAAAAAACACACACACACAAGAACAGAGGATGAGACTAGCCATGCTGACACTTATCCTCTGTCAGATGCACTTTTGAAAATCCTTCCCACTGCAAATATCAGCGGACAGTGTCTCGCTATTTAGACACCAACGAACTGTTCTGCTATCTGAGAGCACTCTCTGGGGCTCCCGATGCAGGGACTGAGCGGCATCCTGAGGCTCGGACGCTAATGAGCAGAGATCATTACGCCAATTATTCTAACTTAGATCAGGACTTGGCTGTGACTCTGCAGAGGAACTAGGACCCACTGCTAGCCTAATTGCCGGCTTGGGAAAAAAAAAAGAGGATGAGCATAACAAAAGGGTTTTGAAGCGGAGTTGGGAAGAGTCCACCGCTAGCTCTGGTTACATTCCATCAGGTTGCTGCGCATCAAGCCACGGCAGCAGTGTCACTAAAGTCAATACCGTTTAAAGTTGCTTCTGATAATTGGAGATGGAAGCACATTTCAGAGGCAGAAAAACACTGCAACCATTACAGAGCTGAGCGACCCCGACGTAGGTTAGAACAGAGTATATTTGACTCAATACGTCCATGTTAACACTTCCTCTAAAATGAATGAGAGGAAAGACTCATTAATTGGAGCCAAATGAGACACTGAAAGCTCATTTCACTCAGCTACAACTGCTCGTTTGTACTGTACATACACTTTTTGCCAGTTAGTTAGGTACACACAGCTATAACTACTGTGTCATACAACAGCCTCGTAATGAATCTTTGCTGTATGAATGCCATGATATTCACTCACAGGTGTACCAAATAAACTACCAGCTGGGTGTGTATTCAAATAAGTGTGTTGATAAATTAAGAGTACATTTTGAATATTATTTAGAACGCTCACATTTACCCCCTAAATAAATCCCACACAAACACACAATGATATCTGGTTTACATAAAAAAGCAGCAAATTAATGAGAAGCGGGAGCCACATAATGTTGGCTATGATAATAATGTTAAAATACTTTACTTGAATATTAAAACTGTCATAATTTGATTTTCTGCTCATTTTAGCTCCTAATGTACAATGACATGTCTTCAATTTTTTTTAACCTTGTTATAATATTATATTAGATATTATTATAACATATATTAGATCCAGATATGCAAACATTTCTTTATTTAGTTGCTTTTGGTTTTTGGATCCTGAAGAAACGCTTCGTCATCTTGTTTGTACTACTGCTGTATGTACAGCAAAATGACAATCAACCTGATTTGATTTGATTTTTTACAGACAATATCTAATTTTCTACGTGTTGCAGCTCGACACAGCAGCTATTTCTTGTAGCTGGAGGTCAACAGTTTGCAGGCATCACATTGTACATTCAGTATAAGCTACAGCAGATGTACATTTCTTAAGGTCAAATCCGTCCTGCCCCCGTTTCCCTGCCCCTGTTACCTGAACCTCCAGAACCTCTGCACTGCAAGAGTGCAATAAATTCTGACAAACCATCTCGAGGTGCTTCTCCCTGTTTCATTCCTTCTCTGGTCTGTCAGAGCCTAATAAAAATACAACTCATGCTGGACTCACTTCAAGATGTGGGAACAAGCACCGCATGATTTCGGAGACCCCAGAGGGTGCGCAGTATTAGGTATCAGGAAAACAGATCCAGCCGATATTATTTCCTGCTGCTTATGAGAACTGAGATTTTTGGGTTGGATGAGTTCACACGAGGAACAACTGAGAACGGAGGAAAACATCTCAAAGAGAGAGAGAAAGAGAGAGATCCAACTGCCTAATTGTGTTGCCAGCAGCACTGGGGTGGCAGAAAAGGAGACAAAAGCTTCAGTCACACTCCGATAAGTGTTTGTGAATGTGACTGAATGCGACATAAGCTCACCCTGTTTGACCCTTGATCTTTATGGAACTCCTCTTCCTTGAATTCATCGTCATTTCTGTAACTGTTATTTCAAAGCGCCTCCTTTTTCCTTTTTTTTTTTTTTTTAACGCTGGCATTGTTCCCCATGACACTTAGTGTTTACAACACTGTCACAGCTCAGCTCCTTTCAGTCAGAGCAGCAATAATGCCAAGGTATTACACGACTAGATGCTGACAAGCCAGCACTAACGAGACAAGCCGGTCAGATGGTGAATTTCAACATGACCAGTCTGGAAAGTTGTTTGACTGATTGGCGGAGGATTACAAAGACAGTTACACAGAGTCAGAAATAGAACACAAATGGCTTCTTTACACTGTGACCCACTAGCATATATAACACGGCCATAATCAGTCACATTTTCATATTGTTATATATAATACTGGGGTATCTGACAGACACTTTCTACATAAGACTACTGCTTACATGATCACATCCATAGTGTAAAACCTGAAAGAAACTGGGATCCGTCTTAATAACGTGTTGTGAAAATGCAATCAGCACCACTATATTAAATGCCAGCAATATGAAAACAACAATATGTCACAGTTAAGTGCTTTGATTCAAAATGCAGTTATTAAAACATAATTATTTCAGAAATGCCAATAACTCCCATAGAACCTAAATAAAGGCTCTGGTTTGGGACATCTCGGGGCCTTAAATGACATCTGAATCCACAAAACACACCACACCCTGACCAGATGTGCTGTGACAATGCTCAGGGGGGAAACACAAAAATCAGTCAATCCCAGGAGTCTCTGCAAAAAGCTCAGGAAAAAAAAAAAAAAAAAGATGAACAGAGTGTCACGACTACACAAAATGCCCCTGAACTGACCATTCGTTGTGAAAAGAGACATTTTTAAGTGAATGAATTGGATAATTTAAACCATCACGCGTCTGATATCTGCTGAGAAGTAAAGAATTAATCATCTAGTTCTTATCCGGCTCTATGAGAAGAGCATCAGCGCCATCTAGCGGTGACATGCACCACCTACTGGTAGTTTATAACACTGATTCTCAGTTAAAATAAATTATCAAAATGCAGAAGAACATGTAAAGTAAACTATTCTATAAAAAGTGCTGTTCGGGTGATGTTTACCTTTTTGGGGTCATCATAAAACACGCCGATAGTTGCGAGTCCTGGGCCAATAGAGCTAGACTCCCTAAAAAGTTGTCCACAGTCTTTGTAGGGTCCTTCTTTGAACTTATAGGCGAATGTGATCTTTTTTATGGGAGGACAGCCGGTTTGCACAATAATGTCACAGAGGAGTCCCGAGTATAAAAGTAGAGCAGCCACAGTTAACAGACTTAACAGGCTAATGAGCACACACAGGCTGAGCCAGTCCGGCATGATAGCTTACCACCAGGCGGAGCAGGCGCCGTTATTTAGCTGCTTTGCGACAACTAAAGCACTGTTTTATTCGTTTAAACGAGATAACATGCTCAAGATAATGTTTTATCGATTTCCACAGGGACTTCAGTTGACATTTGTTTCACTAGGCGACAAAGATAAAGCACTAGGTTGCACATTGCGGACGACTTCCTGGAACGTACCATTTTTTGCCGACTGAAGGGGTGTCGTGTTGCTACCAATACATTTGTAAATATCTCAGAAATAGTTTGTCTTGATGTTAAATGCAGTTTCGTGAATGAATTTTAGTGGGCTTTCAGTTATTTAAGGTAGTGTGAATGTCGACGGTCAAAATTCGCATTGGTCAAATGATAAATATTTTTAAAAAGTACCGTGATTTGGACGCAGTTCGACGCACTAGTGAATAGAGGTCGAATTCACTGAACTTCAGACCACAGATACTTGTGCAAAATTTAAGAAATAATGGTAGTCACTCATACACATTTACTACATCTGTAAAAATAAAATATTTTTATAATTAATAATAATAAATAATGACGTGACTGTACCGCGCACAATGACATGCTACTTCCTTGTTGGTAAATAGCCACATCATAATTTAGAGTTCAGGACATTTTTATTTTAATCTTGTAATTTTTTATTTTATTTTTTACCTTTAATTTTGTATTTTTTTTGCATATTAATAACAATGTCATGAAAACAATGAAAAGCCACAAAACCCTGAGGGCTATATAAGTCCACTCAGGTTTGTGTCCCGCCCTCAGAATAAAGTGAGGGCTGGACTTGAGGCGTAAACTGAACTGATTAAATATAAACTGAGCTGTTTTGCGTGACGCTTTTTCGTCCACTTCCTCCGCAATTGTTAAGAATGGCTGGAAATCTGAAAAGGTTTTACAACCTCACGGCTAAACTGCTGTCTGGAGAAACGTTGAGTTTCTCTGCCATGAAGGGGAAGGTGGTCCTCATTGAAAATGTGGCGTCTCTCTGAGGAACAACAACCAGGGACTACACTCAGATGAACGAGCTTCATTCTCGCTACTCCTCCGAGGGCCTCGTTGTTCTGGGTGTACCCTGCAACCAGTTTGGACATCAGGTAAGCCGTGTGTGTGGTATGTAGAACAAGATCAGATACTCTTTACAGGTCAAAATGTAGGCCTTTTGGGGTCTTTCTATCATTTCAATACAGAAAATATATTAATTATAGTAAAAATAAATGTTATTAAAGATAAACATGTGTGTTTTCCATCAACTTTTAAACTTTATGAGCAACTTAACAGTATTCTTTAACTTCACTAAAATTGCAAAAATCTATAAATGCTCCGCTGCCTCACACCTAAAGGTCAAAATGTGACATACTTCATATAAGCATTGTCAACAAAGTGCACTCAGACTATCAAAACTATTCATATGTAATGGAACGGCATACTACAGTGTTATAATAGTCAGTATGAGTGAATTCCATTCCTGGCACATCAGTGACAGAAGTGGATGTTATAAACATTTGGAATGAAAAGCCCTTTTTTTTTATAACAGATTTTTTTTAAGGTGAATTTGAATTTGTTAAATAACCAGTAACTCATCCATCATATGCAATTAGTAAAGTGAGAGGTGTGTGAAGAGTCCATTTGCAAAAACAGATAACTTCACAAACCTTCAGAAAACCCATTTGTCAATCGTCTACCTGAGACGATATCAATGAAACTTAAGTTATCTCTAATTTTGTCATTTCTGCTGAGTCAAATCCACTCCACTCAACTCAAATTTGATTTATTTATTTTGCTTTTTTTTTTATCCCTTTTTTTCCTCCCTCCCTATATATGTATACTAGCATATATGTATTTATTTATTGTGTGTTTATTCTTATTTTTATTCGTCTCTTAATATTGTTTTGGTGTGGAACAGGTACACAAAGCATTTCACTGCGCGTTACACCGTGTATGACTGTGTTTGTGACAAATAAAGACCTTGAATCCTTGAATCCTTGAACTTCAGTTTGATTGATATTATCGCAAGCAAGCAACAAAAAAAATACATTTTCTGAAAATCTAAAAAAAATGGAGTTATCTATTTTTACAAATGAACTCTTCATATTCATCAACCAAGTGTAGTAAACTAGAAGAAAACAGTAGCATAAATATATTACACTACAAGTACTACCAAACTACACTGAAGTACACTGCTAAGGGAAATATAGTTAAATTGTTGTTCTGATTTTGAGAGTGCATCCACACTTCTGAGACTGATCCACGTTTCTGCATTTTTACAACAGGAGAACTGCAAGAATGATGAAATCCTGAGATCCTTGAAGTATCTCCGTCCAGGGAATGGCTTTGAACCAAAGTTCCACCTCATGGAGAAGGTGGAGGTGAACGGAAAGGATGCCCACCCCCTGTTTGTCTATCTGAAAGAGAAGCTCCCGTTCCCCAGTGATGACGCCATGGCTCTCATGACCGATCCCAAGCTCATCATGTGGAGTCCAGTGTGTAGAAATGACGTATCCTGGAACTTTGAGAAGTTCCTGGTCGGTCCAGACGGGGAGCCTTACAAGCGCTACAGCAGAAATTTCCTCACCAGTGATATTGAGGCAGATATTAAGGAGCTACTTAAGAGGATCAAATAAGATGTGCAGCGACAGTTTACGGGTGTCTGTAAAGAATGTCTGTTATGACCACCCTATCTGGAAAGATTAATCAGCAGATGCATCTGTTTGGGGTATTTTTATCATGCTCCCCAGCTTTACAGTTTCACTCAGTTGCAGCACTCCTACATGAGTGATACGTCCGGTGCCATACACTCTGGCTGATCAGACTGTTTACCCAATGAAGAAACTCCTTGAAACACTTTGAGGGGAGTTTCTGATGAACATGTAAAAGTTTGACTCTACCACTGTGTATAACTTGTATCACAAATGTTCTCATTTGGTAGAATTTAGGAGGAGAAATAAAAATATTTTATCATATAAGGTGCTGCAGTCATTTGTCTAAAACATATACCAACACATATGTTAATTATTACATCGCAAAACATCATAAAAGAATTCAACTCATATTTTCTAGTTGATGTAATGTGAACATATGAATTTAAAAATTCAAGTTCTGATGACTTCTTTCATCTCTCACCCATATGATGCTCCCCATGATGCCAACTCCAATAAAAGCAGGTCAGAATCCAGAACATAAAATAACTATAACTATATACCTGACAAGTTACAAGATTATTGGTAATAAGGGATGTGGGTTGTAGCTACGATAATATGTGTTTAAACGTAATGTGATTTATATTACTGTTGCTTATGACTGGAATCAGTGGCAGCGCTCTGATGCTTCCTGGTGCCGGCAGGTTCATCCCCGACCAGCGCTACGCCGACCTACAACTCGTCCAACATGGCCGGCCAGGAAGATCCAGTGCAAAGAGAGATTCACCAAGACTGGGCGAATCGAGAGTACATAGAAGTAATTACGAGCAGCATCAAAAAAATCGCCGACTTTCTAAACTCCTTTGGTAAGCTTTTCACCATGAATTTCACTGATACGTTCAGCACTGATGTGGATATTTAGACAGACAGAACAAGCTAGCTAGCTGAGCTAGCTGTCCGTCTGTTAGCTAGCATTGATGTTGATGTTTTCAATGGCCACTCCCAGCTAGCTCGTTAGCTTGTCATTGTTGCATTGCAGAGGAATAGTGACATTTTGGTGTCGAATCGCTGTGCATTTTGGTTTGCTTGTGAATTCATGTTAGCTGCCCAACGAGTGTCAAAACATTAGATTAATGTACGAATACTATGTTCGAGTGTTCAGACAGCTAACAGCTAGCTGAGAGGCTAGCGCAGTTGCTAACGCTGGTCTCCTGCGATTAACAAGTTCAGCTGCAGCTCGACCCTGACCGACATAATGTCCAATTATGACATCGTTCATCTTTGTCGAGAGAATGTCATCGTAACTGACTTGTGTAGCTACACTGATCGAAATGACATGGCTGCTGTAACAGCTAAATCCATTTGTGCTCATCAGATATGTCGTGTCGGTCCCGTTTGGCCACCCTCAATGAGAAGTTGACAGCTCTGGAGCGGAGGATTGAATATATCGAGGCAAGAGTAAGTATACGGCGTTCAAGTTTGTTTTAAATAAAAACACTGCCTTCTGTGGTTGCAGAAAACTTGCACATTCCTGCACAATCTGAACAGCTGTCACACTTAAATAACACAGCAAATATATTTATTATTTTGCATTAGCCTTGATTTACTATCCTATACTACAATCTACTATACTATACTATACTATACTATATATATTTACTGTACTATTTGAATTACAACACTTTATTTTTTTAAATATTTTGTCCTTGAAATGTTCTGTTTGTCAGTATTTACTGTTAGGCACCACAACACCCAGCCAAGTTCCTTATATATGAATACCTACTTGAGAATAAAACTGATTCTGATTGTAAGTGATGTACCGATTACATTCATACATGTCTCATTACAGGTGACAAAAGGAGAAACCCTGACCTAGAAGTCATCATGGACATCCATAGCATCCTCAAGCTACCTACTCACTCCCCATCCTGAATTTTTGGATTAAGTGTGATGGACTCCACCCTCCTTTTTTGGGACCATGTGGACCATTTTTTTATATTATATGGCTGAGTTTTGTGTTGTTTTATCTCATGACGCATTTGTATAGAAGATGTGGGTCTGTCTTGGGTGTCAGTGACTCAAGCATCATCAACGTTACAAAACTAAGCTCCATACGTATTGGTTACATAAGAATATTCTGGAGCTCAATTATGGCTCTGGCATCAGCACAAGTTGCCGACCATCTGTGTTGTATACAGCGTCATTACCCAATCAGAGGTTTATCAAAGGGGGAACATTCTTGTGTGCCAAGTTGATCAAGTAATTGTGTTGTCACCTGTATTAAGGACCTGCTTGTACAGTGAACTGTTTGGCGATGTTTCAGAATTTAAATACTGTAATAAATAATTAACAATGAGTGTGTTTCGTGTTGTAACTTCATTTAGTCGTGTTCACTACATATGTTCACATATTGAACTTGATATCTACTTCTTCATTGCTCTGAATACTTTGAGGATACAAGTAGGAACATACAACTAAACATAAGATGAACAATTATTATATACAGATCAACAGGAAACAGTAAATTGTCTGATCACAAATTATTTTTTTATGCTGATCTGGCTGCACATACTGCAAGAGTCATGGACATCAATGCTAAAGTAAACTTGTTCTGAATAATTCATGTCACTACAGTGTTAGATTTATGTGCATATTTCATGAATTATGCACAGTCTGCTTATACTTAGCATGGCAGTGATAAAATATGTGCATACAATTGCACTTTAGGTATACGAGGCTGTTGTGCATTAAGAATAAAAATCCAGATTATGAGTCTCATGTAGAATATTCAGTCCGTGTGAATTGACAGGGGCATGAAACAGCACCACAGTACAGTATGATTGTCAGATTACGATGAAATCTAACAAAACTGAAGCTATTTTCTAAAGCACAAAACGACTACACACTTCCATATGTTAACACAAATATAGCACAAAAACATCCAATAAAATGGCGGATATAAAGCTTGATAAAATTTCGCCCTCAGCCTGGCCTTTCAGGCAGCACTTCAACGCTATATCGCCTACTCTTGCTTCATCTATTATTATTCATATTGCGTGTCTCCTTCTTCAGCTACGCCCAACATCATAACTTGCGACCACAGCAAAACTAGCCCGTAGTGGTGACTCAAAGCTTCTGTAAAGTTAACCGTAAATACAAACAATTTAGGACAACTAAAGACGAAAAGCAGGCGAGAGCAAATGCTGCCTTTAAGGCAAGTGTAGGGATTTAAATAACTCCAATACCCACAATGCACCCCGATATAGAGCAATGCATTCTGGGATAAAGAAGGTCGTCGTAGTTGTTGTGAGAAGTCCTTGAACGTGAGATGAATTTTCTTGCCCACAAATTTTCAAATATCTTTTCGAAAAAATAACAGTGACATTATCATCAAACTTTCACCGGTGAGTTGCTGTTTTTTCAGGCTAGAAACTGAAACTTCCGACAGCTTCTCATCGGCGTCGTGGGGGTTTTCTCATAAGTTATTCTGGTTGCCTTATTTCACCCTGGTTTGCTAACGTTAGCTCGGGGTCCATCTTAACCGTGTACAGGCTTTCTGTTGATTGAGATGATTCGACTGTAGGGAAACTGTTTTGTATGTGAGTTTCTAAACAGCAAGAATCCCAATGCATTTCCTGTTTAATTCTAATATGTTTGCGGTTTTAGAGAACGTGTGAGCGCAGAAGCCACTGAGAAAAATGGGCGCTGATAAAAGGTGAGTGGTCACATTAAGCGCCGGCGCCATAGTAGGTGTGGCTAACATTATGGCAGAGGTATTTTAAGGCAAGCTCTCCAACCAAAGGAGAAAGAAATATGTCAAGTTTCATTCAGAGCATATTTGTAACGCCTGTTTGTAAGTTTCTCTTGTCCTGCATCACATCAGTATAGAATAACATGCATTCTTTGATATGTGTGGTTGTCTTGTATATATGTATATTATATGCACTGGAATACTAGACACAATGTGTAAGTGTTAATAAAATAGATGCACATATGCTAACAGTGTTGATGTCTTTGATCCAATATACTAAAAATGGAGTCCCAACCCTGGAGGAACATGTCAGACTTTTTTTGTATAAAGTTAATCAAATAATTGTTTTGAATGAGCTTGCTAATACAATGGTGGGGCCATATACCGAATACTACCATGCAGTGGGAGATTACCTACTGGTCTATAAGATAAGATAGAACTTTAACAATCAATCCCATAGACTAACTCAAGTGCCAGATGTTGCTCAGGAAAAAATAAGCATTGCATAACATCACCTATGTTTTAACTGTCCTCCCTGAATAGGATTAGCCGGACAGAACGCAGCGGTAGATACGGTTCCGACCAGTCCCGTGACGAATCAGATTGGCGTGACAGACGAGAGAGGGACCAGGAGCGCGAGCACAACATGCGCCGCTGGGGTGAAGAAAGACGTGAGCGTTATGAAGGAGAGCGTCGAGGATCAAGAGACAGCCCAGAGGTATTTATTCTAATCACCAGGGAATTTTAATGGTATCATAATGTGTAAGTAAAAATACTTGGTGACGTTAATCTTTTGTTTTGAAGCAAAGGGAGAGGAAACGACGTAACAGCGACCGATCGGAAGATGGTTATCATTCGGATGGTGACTACCCAGAGCAGGATTACAGAAGAGAGCCAGGAGAGGAGAAGAAGAGCAAGACTATCATGCTCGGGGGTCTGTCTCCTCATGTCACTGAGGATGATGTAAGTAGTAGTGTTCATCTACAGAAACACAACACTTTATGTGCTTATTACCCTCAGTCTGTCAGATGAAATGGCTTTTGAAGGTTGTACATTTTAAATCAAAGTGTTAAAGTACTGTATGTTTGTTGTGTTTTAGATTCGTTTTGCCATAGACCAACTGGAGGGACCCCAGCCAGTGGATGTCAGACTAATGATTAAGAAAAAAGGTGAGAACCAGATGTATGACGGACCCCAGCCTTCCCTCAGTCTTTGACCATAGGGCCAATCTGCTTCCATTCTGACCCATTTTCCCATAGCAGTTAGGGGAGAATTATATCGAATTACTTGCAAAAGGATGTAAAATATTGATTTACAACTTATCATTTCAGTACATTGTGGACCTCTTTCAGGTAAGTAAGAGCAGCAATAGTAGTTGTAGACAAAGTCGATTGGCAGACACACTTTGTTGTTGGGTGTGGTTCAAACAGTGGTATTCAGCAGGGATTTCTTGCTATGGTAAAACTCCTAAGGAGTGGCCTATTGTATACCAAACTGGGCCAGGGTCGTGAAGCAGTTTGTGGAAGACTTTGAATAATATGCCCATGGACTCTTAACTAACACGCCTCCCGTCTAT